CTGTGGTTACCAGGGGCAGTGGGGGTGGGGGGTGGGCACAAGGGGTGAAGGGAGTCATATATATGGTGATGGACAAACAAAAATGTACAACCCAAAGTTTCACAATATTAAAAACCATTAAAATACATCAATAAAAAAAAAGAATAAAATACCTAGGAATAAAGTTAAAAGAAATACAAGATGTGTACATTGAAAACTAACAAACCTCATTTTAAGAAACCGAAGAAGACAAATGGGAAAATCATATGTTCGTGAATTGGATGACTTAATATTTTTAAGATGATAATACTCCCCTAATTGATTTACAGGTATGCTATTCCTATCAAAGTTGCAGCTGTGTTTTTTACAGAAGTTGAGTCTGGTTCCTAAAATTCATGTGGAAATGCAAGAGACCCAGAGTAGCCAAAATTATTTTGAAATAGAAGAACAAAGTTGAAGGACTCACACTTTCCAATTTCAAAATTTACTATAAGCCTACAATAATCAAGACTGTGTCTTACTGACATAAGGATAGGTGTGTAAATCAATGGAATAGAATTGAGAATCCAAAAATAAATTCATACAGTTCTCTTCAATTGATTTTTTTGTGTGTGTGAGGAAGATCAGCCCTGAGCTAACATCCATGTCAATCCTCCTCTTTTTGCTGAGGAAGACTGGTCCTGAGCTAACATCCATGCTGATCTTCCTCCACTTTATGTGGGACGCTGCCACATCATGGCCTGACAAGTGGTGCATCAGTGCACACCCGGGATCTGAACTTGGGCTGCCAGCAGCGGAGCACGCGCACTTAACCGCTACACCACAGGGCTGGCCTCTTTTCAACTGATTTTTGAAAAGGGTGCCAAGACAATTCATTGTTGAAAAGAATAGTCTTTTCCACAAATGATGACAGGAGAACTGGATATCCACATGTAAAATAAAGAAGTTGGACCCCTACCTCATATATACAAAAATTAATTCAAGTTGGTCAAAGACATAAATGTAAGAGCTAAACCTATAAAACTTTTAGAAAATAATAGGTGTAAAATCTTCATGACCTTGGGTTAGGCAGTGATTTCTGTTATGACACTTAAGGTACAAGCAATCAAAGAAAAAGTAGAGAAATTGGACATCAAAATAACAAAGGTAAAGATTTTGTGCTTCAAAGGACACAGTCAAGAAAATGAAAGAAAACCCACAACATGGCATAAAGTATTTGAAAATAATATGTCTAATAGGGATTTAGTATCCAGAATATATAAAGAACTTTTACAGCTCAACAATAACCAGATAAACAACTCAGTTTAAAATGGGCAGAGATTTGGATAGACATTTCTCCAAAGAAGAAACACAAATGGCCAACAAGCACATGAAAACATGTTCAACATCATTAGTCAACAGATAAAATGCAAATCAAATCCACAAAGAGATACCATTTCATATTCACTAGGATGGCTATAATCAAAAAGACTAACAAGTGTTGGCAAAGATGTGAAGAAACTGGAACCCTCATACGTTACTGGTGGATATGTAAAATGATGCAGCTGCTGTGCAAAACATTTTGACAGTTCTTGAACAAGTTAAACAGTTTCCAAATGAACCAGCAATTCTACTCCTAGGTATATATCCATCAGAAATGAAAACATTCACACAAAAACTTGTATACAAATGTTCATAGCAGCATTGTTTATATGTGGAAACAACCCAAATGTCCATCAATGGATGAATGAATAAACAAGATGTGGTATATCCACATGATGGAATATTATTCAGCCATAACAAGGAGATATACTGGTACATGCTACAACATGGATGAATCCTGAAAACATTATATTGAGTGATAGAAGCCAGGCACAAAAGGCCACATATTGTATGATTCCATTTATATGAAATATCCAGTATGGGCAGATTCATAGAGACAGAAGGATTAATGGTTGCCAAGGGATGTGGAGAGTGGAGAGTGGGGAGAGATTGCTAATGGGTATAGGATTTGGGGGGGACTGGTTTAAATGTTCTGGAATTAGATAATGGTGGTGATTGCATAACTGTGTGAATATGCTAAAAACTACTGAATTGTACTCTTTAAAAGGGTAAATTTTTTGGTATGTGAATTATATCTCAATTTTTAAAAAATAAAATGATGAAGGTCAAAATAACAAATGAAAGCAGAGAGAATTCATTTCTAGCAGATCTATGCT